CGAGAGATTCGTTCTAACGCGCTCTCAGAAAGCGGCCTCAAACTCGCGGGAATAAGAGCGTCCAACCTCCGGACAGGTTTATAGTCGGTCGGTTATTGTCTCGAAACAGGGTAGCGCACCGGGAGCGTTCCATCCCCCGCGCCGGCCCGCGCGAGCTCGTTTCAGCGAGGCAACGATCGGACGTTGTATACCTATCGTACACAAAGTAATCCAGCGACGGTGATAGCCAACGCGAAACATCGCGTCCATACGAGAAAGAGAGGAGACCCACCCTCCTCCCCTCGGCCCGCCTCGGCCCTCGTTTGTTCGCTCGCACGCACCCACACGCGCTCCTCACGGTGCAACACCGTTCGCTGACCGTGCACTCGAGCTACCACGGCGATATAATACTGTAGCACTATACTTTGCAGCCATTGTGAAATAACTCGTAAACCTGCAAATTGCCGGCTATTTTGCTCCCATACACGCGCGCAACGGCGACCTTTTACGCCGCGCCGTCTGTGTGTATTGTGTGTCCGACCGTAGATCGAGAAGGCTGACTGCTCCTCTATGAGCGTGCATGTTCACGCGGGTAAGACACACCGTAGTCCATCCGCGCTCTCACGTGTGAGCGAAGCGCGCGCGCGCGAGGATGCACAGGGTGGTCGCGCGAATTCGATTCTTTTTACGAGACGACGCGGTCGAGGCGGATAAATTGGTCCCGATGTTGCCAACGACCGACCGACCGGTGAAGTCATCCCGTTCGCCGGTCAAGTTGCAGGAGCACATATGCTGATCAGTGCGGCGAAACTGCGTTTTCAGATTAACGTGACGTGATTTTTTGTATTACTTTAACAAGACGCACACGTTAATTTGACATATGTTTGTGTACTTTTTAATACATTTCCATATTGAAACAACACAACAATTTAATCGAAATTCTTTATCGTGTTTTTAAGGTCTCGAAGTTTCGGAAATAACCGTTTTCTCCGAATTCTCCCACAAATTTCTTCAGTTTCTGTTCCAAGGGTGCAAAAATTCGTTCATAAAAATTCACGGGTGCCCGATTGAAACCCTGTGGCACGTTTACTTTTTTTCCGTAAGTGAGAAGGTGAGAAACCCCGCGAAAAATTTGGGAAGAAACGGTTTGCGGAAATTTCAAAACTATAAACCCAAAGTCAAAATATCGAGATGCTTAGCGTAAAAATAGTAAAAAAAAAAACCAAACTTTACTATTCGGAGAATCTCACTGTGCGTGAGGCGAAATACGGACACCTCGTATATCGTGCCCGATGTCGTGATGGCAAGACAAACGATGACGAGCGAGCTGTACGAGTTATCATTGTGATTATGCAAATGCATTATCATTATGCAAATGCGCCGGTGCACCTAAAACTTAGAACACGATTCGTTGTCGTCGTCGCTGCCGTCGTGGCACGCTTAACGTGGGCCGTAGGTGGGCGCATCCTTTGTAATTTTGAGAAATAACGTCGTTTTTGTCCGAGCCGAAATCTCCGTGAGTAAAAACAAAAGAGATGAGAAACAGAATCACCGCGCGCTCTTCTACTTCGGTATAAAAGAAGCGTCACGTGAAGCCGGTCCCGATCCTTACCTTTTCGATTTTACGCTCTGTTCCGATCGATAGAATCGTTCCTGTCGAGCGACGTGATTTCCCTCGTACAGATCGCAACGTCGATCCGTACAGATTATTTTTTAACACTTTGGTTGAATCGGGCAGGAATACTTCGTAGCGCTTGTTTCTTTTTTTTCTTTTTTTTTACGATCGACCTGTCCGAGCGTCCAATTATCGCTCGGTAATTAATGCTACCACGGACTTCTTCGGATGACGCAAACCCCACGCGAATAATTACGCTTTTATTGCCCAATGGCATTCGCGTTTACCGAGGAAATTTTCATGCATTGTTCGCTCGCGGTTATCGTTGCCGTTGTTTATAACACAGCGTGATAACACAACCGTGCGCGCGCTTCTTTCCTATTTTTTTTTTATTTCGAAACTCGATCGTGTGTGCGTGTGCGTATGTGTGTGTGTGTGTGTGTATGTGTTCTCGTTTCGTGCGTACAAGTATATCACATGAGAGAGCGACTGGATGACGTTTGCGCACTTATTTTTCGCGCAATATTTATAGACGCACGCTCGCACATACATGTCTATGTCTTACGGCTTATATTAACCTTGCCGGGCTCGAGCAGAAGCGAGCCGATATCGCCTCGGCGCGATACCCGGAATACCGTAAACTTTATCAACATTGACAATTAATTTTCATTCCGTTAC